CGAGAATCTCTATTTTACATTTTTAAATAAAAGATGTTTCTAGCTCTCATGATTGTAGACAAAAGCTTGACCGTAAGCCCAAAAGGTAGATTTTAAAAACCTTCCACATTGTCACAAATTTATTAATTTAAAATAAAAAGTTGAATAGCTTTTTTTCTTGTAGATTGTGAGTTCTTCTTGGTGAGAAGTTGAATAGAATTGGTTGATTTTGATTTGTGTATGTATATAGGTCACAAATATGACTTGTTTGTTCTATTATTACCTGGGTAACTCTTATAGTCAGGTTTCTGTTGCAAACTTGCCTCTGTTGAAGTAAACAACAAAACTCAAACTGACTTCAGTGGAAGAAAGATCAGGCCTTTAATTCCTACTCTGGTCAAAAATAACAATTTGTTTTATTTGGGTTGTAATTTGTCCTCATGGGTGAATGCTATTCCTGTTGACATTAATAAGAACTGTGTGTTTTTATGTCAGGATGGAATATGGTCCATAGATTTTTGTTTTTTTTTAAATATCTCATCACAAAGATGGATCTAAAGCAAAGAAAAAAGATTGCTGCATTTTATTCTGTTCATCTGGTAAGAAGTGAAATTTAAAAATAGATAAGAGGCATTAGTCTTAACTGAACACTTCCTCTTTCAAATGGCATGTTTTCTTTAAATGTTAAACTGCTTTTAAGAATATGGGAAACATAATAACATTGCTGACTCCAGTAAAAACTGTTCTTCAAATGAATTTAATATTTTGGAATTATTCGCGCATTGAATATCTCTTTCTGATATTCAAAGTGATGAGCAGCTTGGTCAAGCAGACTGATTAGGAAACAATGATAGATTGAAAGCTCATTTATATCTTGTGAAAATATATTATTTGAACCCTACTATTAGCATATTAACACCACTACATTTTTGGAACTTTGGAGTTGCTTTAGTTTAGACGCTAAATCTGTAACTTCTTGTGCCTGGGGATACTGCTGCACCTGCACAAACCACAGTGCACAATTGGGGCTTTGGTTTGTAGTTAAGACCACTGATCCACCACTGTGGGTACCAGCATTGAGATGGTACGGTATCAGAAACCAGATCCAGCTTTCATGCCTGAGCTAAACCACAGCAAATCCCAACACCTTCAAATCCACTGTGAGAAGTTTGTAATCTGGATAAACTTTGAGCCCTTAGTGTAGTAACTTATGATCTAGAAGGCATGGAATGAACCTGGGCAACCCCCCACCTTCAGAGCTTGGGTTAACACCAAAGGCTAGTACTGAAATGCCAGTGTGAGTCCTTGAAACTGAATGCTACCGAGACATCATTGCTTAACTGCCCTAAATTACTGGGGAATGGCTGAGATACCAGAGACATTGGGAAGTGAATGGTGTGCTACACCTCAGCAAATATGCCATTCCCTAAGACTTATGAAGGAAAAAATTAAACATTTATCTCATTCAGGTAATGTCAAAGGATGAGTGGGCTGCATCTGCCAGGCCTGAGCTAGGTTGAGCAGCTATCTGTCTAACCGAGAAAGGGATTTGGGCTCTTAGATCCCATCCGTGCATCACATAGGGTTGTCAAACCTCCAGGGAAGTCCCTGGAGCCTCCAAGTCTCAAAGATTAATCTTTAATTAAAGATTATGTTCTGTGATGAAACCTCCAGGAATATGTCCAATCAGAATTGGCAACCCTAGTGACATATTGCACCATCCCAGGAGAAAACTGTCCTCAGGTCTAATTCTAGCAACAGAAACAAACCAATAGTTATTCCCAAACGTATTTGGTCCTGGTGTATTTTTAGCAGATCTTGATGCAGAGATGAGCAAATCAATGTGAAAAGGGCTAGATAAGCCCTAGAGCAGCACACGCTGCTATCCAAGATCCATCCCAGGGTGGAAGAGGGACTGCAAGCATTGTTACAAGGGGGCCTGCCCCACTGCAGATTCTCCCAAGTGCACAAGTTTGGCAGTGCTTTCCCTGTAAATCTCTGAGCTCTGCAGCATAGGGAGGCTATGCTTTCCACCTCACCCAGAGCCCACAAATATCTTCTCATAAAAGTAGCATTTGGCAGAAACTCAGCAAGATGCACCTCCAAGTCTCCTGTGACGTCTTGCTTACTCCTATTGATTTGACCTTGAAGAGAGACCAATTCAGCATTGACTTAGAGTCTGCATTAGCCATTTTAGGCCTAATTGTATATCAAGGGCCCCTTATGCCCAGGCCCAGCTGTCATACCTCTGCAGCAACCCCAGATGCAGGGGTATTCTAGGGCAGACAGAGTACAAGTTGAGTGTGGTGTTGGAGGAGGAAGATTAGGGCTGGGGTGGATAGAGTTTGTGCTTGTGGAAGTCTCCTTGAGTTGGTGAAGCAGTTAGCAATTTGCTCAGCCCTGAGGACTGCCCTTGTCGTGTATACCATCTTCAGGGTAGGTTGCAGGACTGGTACTAGCAGTTCAGGCATCCAAACAGATCCTTGCATTAACAGATCCTTGCAGATCCTGCACCAATTCCTGCAGCCCCTGAATAGGGAGGTGCAAACAGCCACCCCTCTGTTTTTGGCCCAACACCCTG